TTACTTAAGTGGACAACATTCCAGATTCAGATGAATGATATTGTCCACAACATCTTTGGTTTCCTCGTAAACATCTTCTTCTCTGTTTGGCCAAAATGACGAAGTATTAGAACTATATGTTGATTGATATAATAGTAGTAGACAATATATGTTGATTGATATAAGAATAATGGACAATATACATCTTCGGTTTCCTCGTAGACATCTTATTCGTATGTCCTCGTAGACATCTTTTTCTTCGTCTTCAGTTTTCTACTAGACATCTTCGTCTTCTTTTTTCACTCGTAGACAACAAACATTTAATATGCATAATGTCGAAATTGAATAACCAATTAAAAACAAAATCAAAACTAGTGAATAGTCAAATTTAGATGGGAGAATGAACTTGATTTAGATAGGAAAACTAAAAGATCTATTCTTGAGGATATCAAAATTTATAGATCTGAATTTTTTGATCCACAGTGGTGATAGAAGAGAAGAAGACGATGGTGGAGATGGAAAGAGATCTAATTAACTTCAAACAAATCTTAAATCTAAACAGAGAAAGGAAAGGAAAAAGAGAAAGAGAGAAAGGAAGAGGATAAAGAGAGAGAGGAAGAGGGAGAGAGCATGAAACGATAAAAAAAAAGAGAAGAGGAGAAGATATTTGTGTGTGTGTGTTTGTGGAGAAAATAAGAAGGGGTAAATGGTCATTTCCAATTTTACAAAGTGGTATGGAGGAAATGTTTTTTAAAATATGGCATTTTTATAGGAAAAACTTGAGAAAGTGGTAAATTTGGCAAATTTTCCTATATTAAATTACATTTTTAAAATAGTTTGTTTTCTAATAAAATTGTATTATGCTTTAAAACATGAAACTGTAAATTAATAGAATATTGTAACTAACAAAACAAAATGGAAGAAAAAAATGTAATGGTGTGAATGAGGGCATTATCATATGCTCTAGAAAAAAAAGAAATTGGTAAAATTTATATAAAAAATTAGTGGACTGGGTGAATCGAAACTCACGTTCTCAAATTTTAGGGGGTGCAAACATAGCAATAAATGCTAAAAGACAATACTTCTTAGATGTATCACGGCTTATTGTTTACAACGTTGCTTCGCCTTTTACTTCCGATTTGATGATGTACATCGCCGGAATTGAAGCTCAACACGATTCGCCGTCGGAGAAAACAAAGAGAAGAGAGAGAGGGTTGAGAAAAACTGAATCGCGAAAGAAAAACAAAATTTTATTTTCTCAGTTTTCATCCCAATGACAAGGCGACACGTAGCACCTCTTAGAGCAACAAAAAAAACCTTAAATCAGAAACGTTCCTTGGGTTTTATTTCTGTTTTGATTTAAATTTAGGCCTTTTATTACAATAAACTATGGATTAGAGCCCTTTAAGAACTACCATTGCTGTTACTCTAAGGTTTATACATTTTAGGTGTGTCAGTTGACCCCCCTACTTGCAACATGGGTCCGACGATGCGTTCAATGTTGACGACATTGTAGACAGAGGGGGTTTTACATTACCAAAGTTAAAGTTGAAATATTTTTTTTATTAAATATATAATTGAAGGGATTTTTTAAGATTTATCTTTTGTTGGGAGGTTTTATTACTAAAACCCCTTTTAATATCTAGGATTGGGTGGAGTATCTTAGCTATTAGAGATAATAGTATTTAGCTAGATAGTACATGTATCTTCATGTCCGATGATGGGTAATTGTGGCAAAACTCGATAGATATTTTTTTTTTTAAGAAAGAAAAAAAAAATAAAAGAATAGGTCTCAAAATATGACTAAATGTATGCACTTACCTGCCGAGCATTCTACAGGATCTAGGGTTTGGTTTGGATGATTTAATAAAAATATTTACTTGGTGTGGAAAATTTCACGTCCCTAGGCTTTCAAGTGTAAAATCATTATCCGCAACTCTGCCTGGTAGCCACTAGCAATAAAATATTTTCGAGTGAATATTTAGGTATTCTTTAGTTGGATTTGATTGGATCACTACAAGAAAACACACGATTTGCGACGGAAGAATTCGCCGCTATTCCCTCACAAAACGACTACTTTAGCAAGGAAATTGCGAGGACAGTCTATTCCTCGCAAATCGTGTCTCGCAAATTGTAAAAAGTCACAATTCCCTCGCAAAAACACACGCCAATTGCGAGGAAAAAAAGCGGTAGCAAACAAGTCGCAAAACGATACACTAGCAGTTCCCTCGCAATATTTGCTAGGGATTTTCAAGAGCTTTTGCAAGACTGTTTAGCATTTTGTAATTACATAATTACTGTTGTATTATTATGATTTTTATTTTTTGTGGATTTAATTTAATTTAAATAAAACAAAACTCAAATTTGAATATGAAATTGATTTATTTATAAAAACATAATGATTTTAACTAAAAATGTGAAATTGATTTTAACTAAAAAGAAAAACATAATGATTTTAACTAAAAAATAAAAATTAAGAAATGCTTCACGAGAGGTCTTTTTCCATCAAGCATCACTCCAATCCAGATTCGCCGTCGTGATTACCCCGCCACCGCTCCAATCTCGTATCACCACCATCATAGTCCGGTTTATCCTTAACAAATTTGATTACCGGGTAATGGAGCTTGTTCGAGACCGGTTAACTCAAATCTGTGTATATGACTCAGTTAAAGATAAACAAGTACATTTTGGTCTGATATTATATAGTTTTAATATCTAAGATTGGGTCAAATATCTTAGATATTAGAGATACTAGTATATGCATGTGGTATTATAGGTAAATGACTTAGTCTCAAAATATGACAAAGTCTTCTCAATATTAATGGATAGTAGACAGTGAATTGTTGGGGTGTTGTGAAGTTGTGGGAAAGGTTCTTTTGCCAAAGACAACTAATTTGCTCAATCCTTCTCATTTCCAGTATTTTTAGGTCATATATTGATGACACTCTTTGACTTTTATTTTGTTGTTTAGGCTCTTGCTTGACTTCTATTTTGTTTAATCTAGTAAAAAAAAAAAGTTCTACTATTATCTTGAACTGGACAAACACATTACGAACTTCTTAGTTGAGTTAGTAAAAGATTATCATTCTTCTTTTATTCATCATCTTCTTAGTATTTAAATTCCAAAGAAAAAAAAAACTGAGGAAATTAAACCACCATGATCAATCTTTATCTATCTCTATTGTCATATACAATCATATTTGTGACTATTTCTTGTGTTTTATCAGTTGATGAGCCTCTGATGCACTGCACTCCTATGTTTAGATGTGGCAATCAAACATATCTCTATTATCCCTTTTGGACACCTGACAGAGAAGAGTGTGGTCACCCGGATTTCAAGGTAAATTGTAGCGGAAGTTTCGCGGAGTTTCGTATATCCTTCGGTTAGGTTCAGAATCCTTGAGATGAACTATGAGTCTCGTATAATAAGACTTGCTAGAATTGATTATCTCAACAACAATCTTTGTCCACAAGACCCTGAGAAGGCAACAATCAACCAACAACTTCTTCCATTTTCTTCCGACACTGAGTTGTCAACTTTTTATTACAACTGTTCTGGTTTAAGTAGGCCTGGACGTTCGGATATTCGGGTCGGGTTCGGGTCGGATTTTTCGGGTTCGGGTTTTTCGGGTTTAGAAAACTAAAACCCGTTCGGGTATTTTAAAACTTCGGGTTCGGATCGGATATTTTGGGTTCGGATTCGGGTTTACCTGAAGTATCCCAATATTAAAAATTTTGTATCCGATTCTTTGCAAAGTATTGAAAAATACTCAAAAATCTATAAAACCCAAGTATTTTTTACCCAAATCTAGCCAAAAGTACCTAAAACACCCGAAAATATCTTAACATCCAAATAATTTAGGCACTTAGGTTATTACAAGTATAAATATTACTAGTATATTATAAATTTATAACTATGTACTTATATTTCGGGTACTTGTTCGGGTTAGGGTTCGGATCGGGTTCGGGTTCGGATTTTCGGGTTGTGAAGTTTAGAACCCGTTCGGGTATTTTAAAACTTCGGGTTCGGGTTCGGATCAGATTTTTCAGGTCGGGTTCGGTTCGAGTCTTCGGGTTCGGATAATATGCCCAGGCGTAGGTTTAAGGGTAGATGTTCTTTCTAATGGTTATATTAGATAACTTGAGTGTAAGGATGATATTGGTTTGCAAAGTTACTTTGTCTCGTCCACTTCATATTTTGGGAATAGAGCTATCTTAGATGGATTAAGTGCATCTTGTGAAAGAAACGTTGATGTTCCTGTCTCTCGATCTGCCATGATGAAAACAGAGAGAAATCAGAGTCTGGAGGCTTTAAAGAAGGTTCTTGATAAGGGTTTCGAACTTAGCTTTAACAGCGAGTGCTTGTGTGTTAAAGCTAAGTGTATTTGTTCACGCAGGTCTCTCCAAGAAATCAAAAATAGGTATGACGCTAATTTCAATAGAATATGCCTCGGGAATAGCATAATCTTACATGCTTTTGTGTTTTTGTTCGTATCTAGGCATCGGATGCGCTGGTGGATTAGGTGCTACTCTTATCACTGGATGTTTGATCTGTTTCATGACCCGAAAGAGAGGAACTTCACATCATTCAAGACACCATAATCTTAAGGGGCTAGTAGAAATGAAACAATACAGTTATGCACTTGACTAAAGGCACATCCCCTGGAAACTATAACTTCTAAGAGCTGTTTTAGAAATCATGGCTATTTCCAAATTTATATGTTTATGAACAATGGTCGCTTAAACCGATCGAAAGCGACGAAATACTCTTTGCATTAAATATCCAAAAAAATGGAGTTGTGGGTTTTTCTTATACGTTAGCAACATTCTCCACAATGACTATTGTTGACTAGTAAGGAAACACTTTCATTTTCGGGTGAGTGGAAAAATAAATAAATTAAAAAAATAAAGAGAAAAGTGTTCTTAAGTCAATGAGACAAAGACGTATGGTTAAAAACTCACCAAGTCTTTTTTATCTGTCGCTTTCACGCTTGACTTGCTCCTTCAAGATTACCACTATGCTTAATCACATATCTGCTCAGCCTAAGCCAAACCCATCCAAGATTAAACTATTCAGAGATCAATCATGTTCTCTCCATTACTCTTCAGATTCTCAAAACCCAATTCTTGTCTGGTCTTTCTCTTGTTCTTGTCCTATTTTCACCATCTTCCTTGTGCTCTAAGTCAACGAGAACCTTCATGTGATACTCTGTTTCGTTGCGGGAATCTCACAGCCGGTTTCCCTTTCTGGGGAGTGGCTCGGCCTCAACCTTGTGGTCATCCATCTTTAGGGCTTCAATGCCAAAAACAATCGAATTCGACTTCTTTAATCATCTCAGGTCTTATGTACCGTGTTCTCGAAGTAAACATCACAACTAGTACTCTTAAATTAGTAAGGCAAGACTTTTCAGGTCCATTCTGCTCGGCTTCATTCAGCGGTGCAACGTTGCCTCCTGATCTCTTTGAGCTTTTTCCGGACTACAAGACCCTCCCCGCTTACTACCTCTGTGACCCTCGTATTCACTATCCTGCGAATTTCACATGTTCAAATAAGGGTGTTGGCTCGATGAATCACGATGATTTGTATCACAATCACTGTGGTGGGAATTTCAACATCACTGTTCCCATAGGTTATGCTCCAGAGGAGGAAGGTTTGAATGTAACCAATTTGGAAAGTGTTCTTAAAAAAGGATTCGAGGTGAAACTGAATATTGATGAGAGACCGTGTCAAGAATGTAAATCCACTGGTGGAATCTGCTCTTACCATGTTGCAACTCCAGTTTGCTGCAAGAAAAACTCGTCATCAGAACTCGAATGCATCCCAATGATTCCATCAGGATTATTAATCAAAGAGATACTCTGCCTCAACCAGAAGCTCTGCTTTCTGCGTTTGGACCAGACAAAGCTTTGGGCCTTTCTCAAAACATCAAGCCCTACAAGCCCACAGTTGTTATTTCGTCTTCATCTTGCAACGGTAACAAATCCTCACAGTCAAACCGTACGACGGCTCCAGCTCATCTTCGTACAGGCGTCACAGCTCACACAATACAATTGCATAACAGATTTGATTCGCTGTGTTCCCCTGTCGTGATGTGTGCTTAGTGACGTGTGACCTAGGAGTCTCTATTTTGGGTATTTCTATATAAACCCTTTCTTATCATTGTAATCCTTTAAGCAGAAACAATCAATAAAGTTTTCTCTTCATCTTTGTCTTATTAAGACTTTCATGGTATCAGAGCTCGGTCATCCATGGCTGACAACTCTGACTCTTCCGATCTCCGTTTTTCTCATTGTGTTACCTTAAAGCTTTCTTCTTCCAACTATTTGTTATGGAAGATACAGTTTGAAACTTGGTTAAACAATCAAAAGTTACTTGGGTTCGTTAATGGAGAAAATTCATGTCCTAATGCTACAAGATCTGTTCGACATGGAGACGTGGTTACTGAGTCGCCAAATCCGGAGTTCCATACTTGGGTTCAGAATGACCAGAAGATTATGGGTTGGCTTCTCGGTTCGTTGTCTGAGGATGCACTGCGTTCTGTCTATGGTCTACACACATCAAGAGAGGTATGGTTTTCTCTAGCTAAGAAATACAATCGGGTCTCAGCTTCTAGGAAAAGTGATTTGCAACGACGCTTAAACTCTGTTTCAAAGGAGGGCAAATCTATGGCTGAATACTTGAACAGTGTTAAGCAAATCTGTGATCAGCTTCATTCCATTGGGTGTCCTGTTCCTGAAAATGAAAAGATCTTTGGAGTTTTGAATGGTTTAGGTCAAGAGTATGTTCCTGTTACCACTATGATAGAAGGCTCCATAGATACTTTTCCTATGTCTTTTGAAGATGCTGTCTTTAAGTTGATAAATTATGAAGACAAGTTGCTTAAGTATTCAGAGGGTCCTGCTGTTTCACCACACTTGGCCTTTGCTACAAACTACTCAAATCGGGGCCGTGGAGGACGTTCTGGTGGCTATCGTGGTCGAAACAACTATTCAACAAGGGGAAGAGGTTTCCATCAACAAATCTCTAATGGCTCTTCCTCTGATTCTGTAACCAGACCAACTTGTCAGATCTGTAACAAGTATGGTCATGCTGCTTATAAGTGTTACAAACGTTTTGACCATGCTTATCAGAGTGAAGATCCTAGTCAAGCCTTTGCTGCCATGCGTGTGTCAGATGCTCGCTCAAATCCCTGGGTAACAGACTCTGGAGCCACTTCTCACATCACAAACTCCATTGCTCAACTTCAAGAAGCTCAGCCTTATAGTGGTGAAGACTCTGTGGTTGTTGGTAATGGTGATTTTCTTCCCATAACACACATTGGTTCAGCAGTTCTCTCAGGTAATCAAGGTAATATACCTTTACATGATGTTCTTGTTTGTCCAAATATCACCAAGTCCTTGTTATCTGTTTCAAAGCTTACTTCAGATTATCCTTGTGTAATTGAGTTTGATTATGATGGTGTGATTATAAAGGACAAGCGGACAAAACAGCTCCTCACCAAAGGAATCCGCCATAATGATTTGTACCTGTTGGAGAATCCGCAGTTTATGGTCTGTTTCTCTTCTAGACAACAGGCTACAAGTGACGAGGTTTGGCACATGAGGCTAGGTCATCCTCATCAAGATGTTCTCCAACAACTTTCGAAGAATAAGGCCATAGTTATGAATAAGACAACTCATAGTTTATGTGATGCTTGTCAAATGGGAAAGATTTGTAAGCTTCCCTTTGCTTCTTCAGCTTTTGTTTCCAGTAGACCACTAGAACGGATTCACTGTGACTTATGGGGTCCCTCTCCAGTTATGTCATCTCAGGGTTTTCGTTACTATGTAATCTTTATTGATAATTATTCAAGATACACTTGGTTCTATCCACTTCATCGCAAATCAGACTTCTTCTCTGTTTTTCTGAGTTTTCAAAAGCTGGTTGAGAATCAATTTCCACATAAAATCTTTATGTTTCAGTGTGATGGAGGGGGTGAGTTCATCAACAATCAGTTTATTGCTCATTTAACCAATTGTGGCATCAAACAGCTCATCTCATGTCCATACACGCCTCAACAGAATGGTTTAGCTGAGAGAAAGCATAGGCATATCACAGAGTTGGGTTTGTCTATGTTGTTTCAGGGAAAAGTACCACACCATCTATGGGTTGAAGCTTTTTATACTGCAAACTACCTGTGCAATCTTCTTCCCTCTTCAGTTCTTCCTGACCAAAAGAGTCCATATGAAGCTCTGTTTGGACAGCCTCCAGTTTACACTTCACTTCGTGTATTTGGATGTGCTTGTTATCCTAATCTCAGGCCTTATCAACATAATAAGTTTGATCCTAAGTCCTTGTTATGTGTCTTCACAGGATATAATGAGAAGTATAAAGGTTATAGATGTTATCATCCTCCTACAGGAAAGGTTTTCATTAACAGACATGTATTGTTTGATGAGACTAAATTTCCTTTTTCAGATCATTACAGTGGAAAGGTCTCTTCTCTGGATTCACCATTGCTCTCAGCCTGGCAATCAAGCTTTCAGCCACCACAGTCTACAATTGTCTTAGAACCTGCAGTTTCAAATAATTTAGAGCAGGATGAGGGTCCAAGTGTTGTTAGAGGAAGAGGTACTGGGTGTACGGCGGACTTAGACTCCGTTCCTATAGGCAACAGCCTCTCACCTCCTTCAACACCTCAAACCGCTCAAGCTCATGATTCTCCAAGTCCTTCTGCAGCCTCTGACACACTTTCACAACAGTCTACAGAGGATTCAGTGTCTCAAGAAGATGAAATTCTACAATCTCCTCAACCAGAAGCTCCTGTCATGAATACAAATCATCCCATGATCACGAGAGCTAAAGCAGGAATAGTCAAGCCTAACCCAAAGTATGCATTGTTCACTGTGAAGAGTAACTATCCGGAACCAAAAACGGTTAAGACTGCTCTAAAAGATGAAGGATGGACTAATGCAATGAGTGAAGAAGTGGATTCTTTTCAAGAAACTCACACTTGGGATCTGGTGCCACCTAATCCAGATTTTACTCCATTGGGTTGCAGATGGGTTTTTAAAACTAAATTAAAAGCTGATGGCTCTCTTGACAGGCTAAAAGCTCGGTTGGTAGCTAAAGGATATGAACAAGAGGAAGGTGTTGACTATTTTGAGACTTATAGTCCTGTTGTCCGCACTGCTACAGTAAGATCAATTCTCCATCTAGCAACACTTCACAAGTGGGAAATCAAACAGCTTGATGTGAAAAATGCCTTTCTCCATGGTGATTTAAAGGAGACAGTGTATATGTATCAACCACCTGGCTTTGAGAATCAAGATAGACCAGACTATGTTTGCAAGTTAAACAAGGCAATCTATGGCTTAAAACAAGCTCCAAGAGCATGGTTTGATAAATTCAGCTCATATCTGCTTGAGTTTGGCTTCACCTGCACCTATTCAGACCCATCTCTATTTGTGTATGTGAAAGGCAAAGACCTAATGTTTCTCTTACTTTACGTTGATGATATGTTGCTTACAGGAAATAATAGTCAGCTCCTTCAAACTCTTCTTGCCTCACTTAACAAAGAGTTCAGGATGAAAGACATGGGGCTGTTACACTATTTTCTGGGAATTCAAGCACATTATCACTCTGAAGGACTATTTCTACATCAAGAAAAGTATGCCATTGATCTTTTGGTTGCAGCAGGAATGGCTGATTGTGCTCCTATGCCAACACCTCTACCACTGCAGCTAGATAAAGTCCCTGGCCAACAAGAAATCTTCTCAGATCCTACATATTTTCGAAGCCTAGCCGGTAAACTTCAGTATCTTACTCTGACTCGTCCTGACATACAGTTTGCAGTTAATCTCGTTTGCCAGAAGATGCACTCTCCGACTGTAGCTGACTTCAATCTCCTCAAACGAGTTCTGAGATATCTCAAAGGTACTGTACAAATGGGTTTAAATCTTTCCTCAAATACTGACAGCACAATGCGAGCCTACAGTGACAGTGACTGGGCTAATTGCAAAGAAACAAGAAGATCAGTTGGTGGTTTCTGTACTTTTCTCGGCACAAACATCATCAGTTGGTCTGCTAAACGTCATCCTACTGTCTCAAGGTCTTCAACTGAAGCTGAGTACAGAACATTGTCTATTGCTGCAACTGAACTCAAATGGTTATCATCTTTACTTCGAGAAGCTGGAATCTCTCAACCTGACACGCCTGAATTGTACTGTGACAATCTCTCTGCAGTTTATCTTACTGCTAATCCAGTAATGCACAATCGATCCAAAGCCTTTGATGTGGATTTTCATTATGTTCGGGAACGTGTGGCTTTGGGCGCTCTTATCGTGAAACATGTACCTGCTGCTCAACAACTCGCAGACATTTTCACCAAGTCGCTACCTCAACAACCTTTCTTTGACTTGCGTTACAAACTTGGCGTTGTCCTTCCTCCTACACCAAGTTTGAGGGGGTGTATTAATCAAAGAGATACTCTGCCTCAACCAGAAGCTCTGCTTTCTGCGTTTGGACCAGACAAAGCTTTGGGCCTTTCTCAAAACATCAAGCCCTACAAGCCCACAGTTGTTATTTCGTCTTCATCTTGCAACGGTAACAAATCCTCACAGTCAAACCGTACGACGGCTCCAGCTCATCTTCGTACAGGCGTCACAGCTCACACAATACAATTGCATAACAGATTTGATTCGCTGTGTTCCCCTGTCGTGATGTGTGCTTAGTGACGTGTGACCTAGGAGTCTCTATTTTGGGTATTTCTATATAAACCCTTTCTTATCATTGTAATCCTTTAAGCAGAAACAATCAATAAAGTTTTCTCTTCATCTTTGTCTTATTAAGACTTTCAAGGATCTATTATTGGTAAGTTTCTGATATATCAGCAAGTTTCTTAGGCATAATATCAGCTAATTTCACTTACCCATTTTTGATATATGTAATTCTGAAAGTTTCTCTGAATATTTCAGCTAACCTAAGTTAATCTTAATCTCCATTTGTGCCTGAATCTCATTTGGCAATCTTTTTCTATACGAACAAGATCTTATACTTTCCTCTTCAAGCTTTATTTGTTTTGTCTTGAATTTTAACTGACATTTCTCATGGTCTTCGTTCATGCAGGTCTCTCTAAAAATACGAAAATAGGTAGGTATCTATCCTCTTTCCTTTCAAGGAAACTAATTTCAGTTTAACATACCTATGTAACAGCATAATCTTATGGATCTCTTGTCTCTTTGTTCGTCTCCAGGCATCGGACATGCTTGTGGATTTATGGGTGCCACTCTTATCACAGGATGTTTGCTCTGTTTCATGATCCGAAAGAGAAGAACTTCCTATCATCCAAGACACCAAAACCTTAAGGGGCTAGTAGAAATGAAACAGTACAGTTATGCAGAAGTGAGGAAAATTACAAAATCATTTTCACACACGGTTGGGAAAGGAGGATTCGGAACTGTCTATGGAGGGTACCTCTTCGATGGTCGTAAGGTAGCGGTGAAAATCTTGAAGGACGACTTTAAGAGCAATGGTGAAGACTTCATCAACGAAATCAAAAGCATGAGCCAAACATCTCATATTAACATTGTTTCTTTACTTGGTTTTTGCTATGAAGGGTCCAGAAGAGCAATTATGTATGAGTTTCTAGAGAATGGGTCACTGGATCAGTTCATATCTAAAAAGAGTTCATTAAATCTAGATGTGAATACACTATACAGAATCGCGCTAGGTGTTGCCCGGGGACTTGATTACTTGCACCATGGCTGCAGAACAAGGATTGTGCATTTTGACATCAAACCTCAAAATGTGCTGTTAGATGAAAATCTATGCCCTAAAGTCTCGGACTTTGGCCTCGCTAAGCTCTGCGAAAAAAGAGAAAGCATATTGTCCTTGATAGGCGCAAGAGGAACAATAGGTTACATTGCCCCTGAGGTCTTTTCTGGAATGTATGGAAGTGTCTCTCACAAGTCCGATGTTTACAGCTATGGAATGTTAGTCCTTGAGATGATTGGAGTAAAGAACAAAGAAACAGAGGAAACTGCTGCTTCTAACTCTAGTTCAGCTTATTTTCAAGATTGGATCTATAAGAATCTTGAAAATGAAGAGCATACATGGAAATTTGGTGCTGAAATAACTAGAGAGGAGAAAGAGATTGCAAAGAAGATGACATTGGTGGGTCTCTGGTGTATACAACCATGTCCATTAAATCGTCCACCGATGAACAGAGTTGTTGAGATGATGGAAGGAAGTTTGGATGCTCTTGAAGTCCCTCCTAAGCCTTCTTTACAATATTATCCAGAGCCTCTTCGGGAATCTTCTTCGCTCTCAGAAGAGAATTCAAACTACTATGAGGTTTTCGTAGGATCCGCAAGTTGAAGTTTTATTTGAGACTCCATCATATACTTGGTGTAACCTTGCAGGATAATTTTTTTTTTGAATAAATGTAAAATTTATTCAACCAAAAGACTTTGCTACATTATACGCATCCTTGATTCGAATGTATTTGAACGTTTTTAGCCTACAAAACCCTCTTTATTTACTACTAGTCAACGTAACTTAATATCATGTCTTTTTTTGTTATAAGTTTTCAAATCAGGTCTTTATGATGTCGCTTTTCAATTTTCATGGATACCTAATCAGGTCTTTATTTTAAAGTTGCTACAAAAGTTAAAACTACTTGCTACAAAAGATAAAACTACTCAAAGTAAACAAGCCATAAAACAAATATATATATATATATATACAGTGGCGGATCCAGAACATATTTCTATGTAGGGCACAAAATATAAACCATTATTAGTTAGTAAATTTTTTATCAAGAAGAAGACATAGTAGAGGATTCGAACCTAAGATCTTAGATTTAGTATGGGGCAACTTGTACCAATTAAGCTAGAAACACATTTGCTGCTAAAACCATTTATTAAATTTATGAAGTCTGTGTAAGGCACGTGCCCTACTACCTCCCTACGTAGATCCGCCACTGTATCTTATATAATATGAGAAGGTTTTCTTCTAACTTTACCTACCATTGCGACATTTGGCACTCTCTTTTGGTGACATGTGTCCTCCTTCATTTCATTAATGTTTGTTTTAATTTATTTAAAATCCTTAGGTTTGAAAGTTTGTGCCTACAATTTAATTCCAAAGAAGATATTTCTCTTATCCTATTGATACATTTGACATGTATTTAAATTGAAATTTGTATCTAATTTGTTTTGCCAAAACTATTATCTACTTAAAATCACCACTTATTCATCTGATTCAAAATTATGGATCAGTAAAATTTTAAACTATTATCTACTTAAAATCACCACTTATTCATCTGATTCAAAATTATGGATCAGTAAAATTTTAACTTCACAAAATATTAGTACATTTTTTAAACTTCTCATAATATTTGTACACTAGTGATTGACCCGCGGTACACCGCGGGGTAAATATTATATATATATATATATATAGTTATAAATTTATGATATTGTTGTATTAATTTTTGATGTTTTATTGGTATAAATTTTAGAATCTATTTTTTTTTTAACTATAAATTTTAATTTTAAGTTATATTTGTTTTGTTAATATTGTTTGTTATGTTTAGTGTTTAAGATTATATAATTGTATTTTGATTGTTAATTCTAGGATTTCAACCGTGGTATACCTTCCCGTATTAATATCAACCATAACCCGTGCTTCGGCCGGATCTTATGTTTTGTTAATATATGCGAAATTTTGTTATATATGAAAGTGGATAAAATAGTAAATTGAAAATATGTAGATGAAACCATCAAAATCCTATGTTACAATAATTAGAAAAAAAAACTTAAGCCAGAAATCTCAGTTTCACAATAATCTATATACTTGCTGAAGAGTGTAACGGGGCTTCCTCTTCTTCTTCATAGTTTATGTTAGCTTCTGCAACCCAAATAAAAATACATCAAGAATCAGGAACCAAATTCTAATTCAACTTAGCTTTAATCATCAAAATAATAAATCACACAAATCTTTTCATAAAACTCAAAGATGAGAAAACACACCTAGAGTACACGGGATGAAACATGCGCAACTGGAATTGATTCAAATTCCCCTTCATCTTTTTTTATAGATTCAAATTAATATATTGAAGTAATTGATCTCATTATCACTAATGAGCTTACAGTTAAAGAAACACTAAAAACAGAGAGATGAAATATACCATCGTTTCATTGTCGTTGATAGAGACAAAAATCGAAGTGAAGAAGATCAGCTCGGTGCAAACGATGTTGCAACTGATACAAACCGGAAGAAAACCGACCATCCATCAATTCGATTTTCACAAATTGTTTGAGCAAGCATGTGGTTTGTTTCTCTTAACCAAACAAAAAAAAAGGACTTCTCTCAGAAAAGATTGATATAACTGTTTCCACTAAGCGTGAGCCAAAAGAAAAACAAACCCGGAAAAGAATTATCCGACAGTAAGAGATTACCCGAGGATTATTCAAAAAACTAACTCAACTCTAAAAAATGTCGTAGGATATAAAAAGGGTAGTCCCCATTGTTAAACCAAATACAATTGGTATGGGTAGCTCTTCAAGGTTTAAGGGCAAGAGAGAGACCAAACCTTGGGTACTTGTCTAATGTCTTGGTATCGATCTCACCTGAGATTGTCACTATTGATTTTGGAAGGACCTCATGTTGCAGAAGAGCTCCAAGCTTACCGTTACTGTTCAGCTTAGCTTTAACATTCGTCAAGTGATCAACCGCATACAATCCACCAACAGTTACTGTGTTCTCGTTCGTTGAGATTTTCCTGACAACCTCTCCAACTGCCGCACTTCTCTTTGACTCATCTAGGTGATAACGATAAGAAGCTTTGATCGAATCTCCTTTATCTCCCCTGAAAATACCAAATTAAAGATTCAGATACTAAAGATAGCTATATAGAAACTTTGATTAGTAAGAGCTTCGTTGTCTTACAATATTATGGAGGCACATCGATCTGGCTTTGTGACACTGATTCCGACGTTGTACTTTGTGAAAGTTCGAGATGTAGTGTCATACCCAGCTTCAGCACCAAATGAGATAGTTGATGAGCCAAAAGTGGTTGTTACATCAATTAGAGGGTTTTGTTGTAAGGCTGCAGCGGCTGTAACTGTTGCGTGATCATGGAAGTATTGGACTTCCAGCTATAAATCATAGTTGAGTTTGAATTCAGAAGGCTGAAAAAAATCATAATAGGTATATCTAGCTTAAAGAATTCTAAAGATGCAAAACCTTGCTAGAGTTGTAATCTGGCACTTTCAAGGATGCAAAACCGGAAGAAAACCGGCCTGAGACTCCCACACATACTGCTCATCGTCATTGTGCTTGGTAGTAACAACAACATTGTCAGCAACCAAGTAAGCAGAGTAGAAACCAACACAAAACTGACCAATCATGCTAACATCAGCTCTAGCAGCCAATGCCTCCATGAATTCCTTGATTCCTGACCTTGCAATTGTTCACCAAATCTAAACGACATAACAGAAACGCATTAGCCAACACATAGATGCAAGATTAATAAACAAAAAACCAATTGCTTTTAACTGAAATCAATTACGTACCAGCCTTAGCCATCCCAATCCCATTATCGATAATGGTCAAGGTGTTGTTAGTCTTGTCGGGAATGATATGAATGAATAGCTCAGGCTGACCATCGAGCTTGCTCTTGTCCGTCAATGACTCAAATCTAATCTTGTCCAAAGCCTGTTCCACCAGAATAAAATAGCTTTACAAAGTCGAATCACAATAGATTTTACTCACCAATTACTCTAGACATGGCAAGAACTCCAAGAACCCTAGCTCCATGTTCAAGAAATGACATATTGTAGCTTTGATGACTTCAAGGAAAAGTTAAAAAAAAAATCTGCATTAGACATAACAAATTCAATCATTAGTCAATACCAAAAGAATTTTTGTATGGAACACAAAACAGAAAATATAAAAGTTTTTATAACAAAATAAAAGAAACAAACACTTTGTTAGTACTATTTCTATTGAATTCACCAAATAAAAACAAACTATTGTTTTCAAAATCGTATAATCTTGACTTTTATTACTACATGTTCGGTGTTTATTTCTACATGGCCTCAAAGAAGTGTTTATCTTGTTTGGTGAGATTAGAAAATGCGACTTAGATGTATTTATAGTATTCTCAGAAAATTGTAGTGTTTCTTTGAGTGAGTAGAAAACCTCTTGCTAAGCAAGTATAAAATATCTTCATAATATAATATATTTGGAATTTATTTAGGAAAAAATATAAATTAGTTATGGAATATGCTACTAATATGCTAAAGATTACCATTTTTATAGGAAAGAAATCGATCACATTTATGTTTATTGTTATCATTCAAATTTTATTTTATTTTTGGCAATAAATCTTTAATACCATAACTAAAAAACGTTAAAACAAATTAATTTTTTTATTAGCATTAAATTAAAAACGTGTATCAAATAAATTTATTGTTAGCATTAAATATTGATTTGTTAGAAAAATATATCAATTTATTGAGTTCTTTTTAGTTATGGCATTACAAATTTATTACGTTTTTTCTAGCATTTAAATAGGAAACCATTTGATTTGAAAATATTTGTTTGTTATAACTACATATAAGATTTCTATATTTTCAAATCAATAATTAAATTTTGTTTAAATGTTTTTAGGAATAAAACCAATTAATTGTAAACGAAATTTTATTGCTAACTATCATAATTTACTCCATAAACTGTATTAGACATATTCTCTAAATATGGTAAAAAAATTAATTGTAAACGAAAGAAGAGGTTAAGAATATGCCATTTGTTAGATGGATTGTTGTAATTAGTTTTTATTTCTCTTTAAAATCGTGATTATAGCTATCATAAGTAGAGAAAAAATAATCATTGCTGAGATTTTTGGAAAGATTATGTAGATATATTTTTTTTTAGCAAATCTGTAGAGAATATACCTTTAATTATTCAACCAATTATGATTTGCATAAAATATTTATTGTTAGCATTAAAGCTTTTTCGATTTCTTAAGATAAAAATGTATTAAATTCAGTTAGTTGTTTAGAGAAGTAATTATGGAAGATCCGATCGAGATATTTTTAAGATATCGAATTGAATATCGCCAGCCATAATGGGAAGAAACATAAATGATTAAATTAAGATTTGATCACGATTATTTAGTTGTAGTAGTTTCCATTTAGTAGATATTCTCGATATTATTGTTAATAGCATTTAAAATTGAATATTTGATTTCCATATCTTTGAATATTAAATCTCGTTATTGCAATATTAGGAAGTTTTGTGGACTTTATTTATTGTTTTGTAAATTTGCTTCAGACAAATATTTTGTCAGATTTTATTTGTAGGGACTAATACTATAAAATTGAAATTGTAAAAGGATTTTTGAGGCCAAATCTTCACCAAAAATGTATATATAGATTTGGCATCTATTTTTAAATTTAATTGTTTTCCTCATTTTTCTATCTTACATAATATTTTAATATCTCCATAAAATACATTTCTAATCTTTTCTAATTTGTCTCTTTTTTTTTTCTTCTTTCCAATCTAACTTTTTTTTTAAAAAAATTTCTCTTTTTTTTTCTTCTTTCCAATCTAACTTTTAAAAAAAAAAAAAATTATAACACCAATTTATTCTCACACGTTACAACTCCAAGTTGGAGTATTTATTTACAATTTTTATTACACAATACATTCAATGTATTTATATAGTATAATATAATTTACAGGAATTATTAAATTTAATATGTCATCCCATATATTGTTTTATAAATGTCTCAGTGAATGAAATTCTAACTTATATAACAGTCAATGTAATTTTAATAAAGAAATATAGTAGCGTGCATTATATTAAGGGAGACTTAATGTATTGCTCCATGTGTTACGCATTCTCTCAAAATAAATGTTTGCGACGAGTTTTCTTCTCCAGTAACGCTTTTCATGTGGCTCCGAAATATATTAGTGTTTTTTTTTGTTCTAGAATTAGTTACCCAAAGTAAAACCCACAAATGAACTTATTAAAACAGATGTAACGTCAAATAACTCTAAATTGATGCATTAGTGATTAGGCTAACAGATAACCACAATAACTCTAATTAATTCAAAACATTAAATCCAATTAATTCACAAACATGTACGCTAAGTCTACTTCTATATATTACCCACATGTGAAGCTAAAAAAAACTATTGTAGAGTTTTTGCTTTTTCCAGTCCGTTCTTTTATTATTTTTATTGACTTTTAGTTGGTTTCTCTTTATTTCAGGCTATCGTCCATATAGTAAAAATATCTACAAAAGTTTTCTCATTTGGTGTTCAAGTTAGGTTCACCAACACCATTAGTTCTATATAAAAGTGTTCTATTTTTTTTTTAAGTTCTATTTTTAATTGTTTCTCTATTTTTCAACTCACCAATAAGATTTTTATACATACATTGAGAAAATTTATATCTATTATTATGGTCAGTTAAAGTGTAATTATAAATTTAAGTATTTAGATAAATGACATTACATTATATTTATTAAAAATTTTCACTCTTATGATCTATATGTATTCATAAATTTGAAAACCATAAGTTTGTTAAAAAAATTTATGATATAAATTGAAAAACCATTTATGTAATTATTCTCAACATCACTTGTCAAAGAGTTAAGAGTTTGTTTTCAAATTTATGAATATGTAAAGCTGTTTCAAGATGATTTTGTTCTTGAATACGTAAAAGTCATGGGATCATGAGTCAAAAAAAAAAATCAGATAGTTTATGCCATTCTTTATTTATTTTACATAATTACTCAACGTTTGAGAGGGATCAACGTTTGAGTTTCATATATCTCGAGTAAATAGTTTTTTTAATTTTTAATATTGTATAACATTTGACTTGATTATGTTTTGAATTCAATTTTTTTTAGTTTATCATACAAATTAAGTAAGAAATATAGATCATATGAAAGAATATAAAATTTGTATTTATTTTTATCAAAGTTTCCATAAAACCAACCCAATGAAATTTACCCAAAAATTTTAAAAAGTTCCACCAAAGGTTTTTTTTTTAATCTATCCTCATGGAATTTTTGAAAATAATTATATTTGCTAAGGGCATTTGCATAGAATATCATAATTGACTAATTCAGTTAAAACCTAACATGCCATTAAAGTATTTAAATAAACGGCATTACATTATATTTATTAAATTTTTGTACTCTTATGACCTATATATATATATATACAAATTTTATAAATGGCATAATTATTTTGTTTTCAAACAATTGAATTTATATATATAATTTATATTAAAACTGAACTAAATTTTTTTAATATAAACTTTCAAAAATAAAATTTTTATTATATCATCTGAAGTCATTTTCCTAAATTAAATATGATTATAATAAGTGTAACATATATATTTGTTTTTTGCGCAAAGGCTGATTCAATTTAACTTAGGTTTGGGTCAGGCCCATTACAAGAGAAACCAGAGACTGTTTTGCCAATGAATCGGCATCTGAGTTCTGCAAACGGAGAATGAAACTAAACGAAATAACATCAAAGGTAGAAGATAAATTCAGGATATCGAAGAGAATCCCATGAAGCTCTTTGTGTTGAAGCTCCGATTTTATAGCTTTGACTAGCTGTGCTGAGTCGGAAGCGAGAGAGAGATGTGAAAAACCCAGATTAACATGTATAAAATATGTTTCTGCTCATTTGGACTACCTTGCTTTTTTATTAAATTTAATCATTATCACAAATTATTTAAATTTTTCTTAAATTTTTAACATATATAGATAAAATTTAGCAAAAAAAATAATAAATATGAATATGTTTTACCTTTGATCTCCTAATTTTATTATGGATTATATGGATATAATATCTAAACCTTATTGTCGAGGGAAAGTCATGAGATCGGGAAGATCTACCTTCTGATGAGATCCAACGAGGGAAAACGGCCAATATCAACCCCAATTATCAACTCGAAACCACATAAATGTCAAATAACAGACCTGAACTATGTAATCGTTAGCCAATTTTAACATATACCTGTTATTAAATAATGTAACAAACCTGAATTATTTAACCTTTAGCCAATTGAATAAAAGAAATGATTCAGATACAAAAGAACATATAATTACGACTTAACAATTCTAATCGACATTAACAAATACAAAAAAAAAAACTGTGTTGAAATTGGATAACGGTTAGATAGTTTAGGTTTGTTTTTTTTAAATTGTATGAGTTCGGGTTGATTTGTTTCGGGGGTCAGAGTTTGGGATGAAAAAAACCGCATAGAAATAGTTGGAGTTGATTTTGACCGTTTTTCCGATCCAAGGATCATGAAGCAGCAAACAAGAGACTCTACGATGAGGTATGATATATATATTTCCACAATAAAATATTTTATGTAAATGAAGAAAAAGTAGTGGTATATAATTATGTCATACCATCTTGAATAAAAAAAGAACATAATTTATTTTTAAGAAATTCACAAAAGTACTTCGAAAAAGAACATAAAAGTTAATACTTTAAAAAATTATTTTCAAAAAAACTACATTAATAATCGAACGTATTACTTAATACAAATTTCATTATTATCCAGAATTAATATTAAATATATAACCCACGCATCGCGTGGGCAGTTTTCTAGTATATATATATTAATAAGTCAGAAGTTTCAGGCCTAGACCTGTACATCACTTCAAACCAGGAACTAGAACATTGTATATACTATGTTTCTTCCCAAAATGTTATTTACTTCTATGTTTTACCTGAAAGTCTTTACCAGTTAAGCTAATGATTCTTGATCATAAAACAGAAATACTAACTTTCATAGAAATGCAACAATTTACTACTAAAACTACATCTAAAATCATAAAATATTAATATTTATGAAGGAAAAATTGTTAGAAAACTTTCATCATCGAATAATATCACCTGAATAACTCTAATATATTTGGGTAAACAAACAAAATTCAATCCTTCAAAGACCCAAATTAACCCAAGTGAATCATCAAGCAATAAATGAGAAATAGACAATCAATATCTATTTTCTTTTCCAAATCAAAGTATTATTTTGATTGAGATTTTTTGAAAGCGTGTCTTGTTGGAAAAGATAAAAAGATACACACAAATGCATGTTGGAAATTTGGTCACTACTTTTGTCATTGTGGCAGTTTAAAGACTGGGATATATACCAACTAATGATGTTTTTTTGCTTAATTTGACAATTTAGTATTAACATACTTTTCCTGCTTTGAATTAGTCATTACGTTTTATAAGAGAGAATACTACTGTATTCCAAAAAGACCTGTGAATTGTGAAAATAACCAAGATCAATGCACCTAGATATATTTTTTTTTTTGTCAACGCACCTAGATATTTTCTTACCCTAATTAACAAGTAACAACCAATATTTTGAAAATATTCTTACCCAAACATTCAATCTAAAATAAAAGCAGAATTATGTACGTAGAAGACTTGTTCGTGTTTATTGTCAATTACAAAATGTTAAAGAAATAATACTACAAGCTCTGGTCGTGGGACTGTTTAAATGTGTATTTGGTCATGAAAATCCAATTTTAATTAAAGATAGATTAGGTTATTGATAGACTTGTTAAACGTTTTTGAACTGCCACTTTGAAACATGCGACTTACAAATGTATAGCATAACTTTGGACCACGTCAAATATGACACACGCTGTTGCCCTATAAATACTGAGCTCAAATGCTTCACAATTCACTAACAACATACACACATAAAAAAAAGTCTTGATCAAAACGCATAAAAACCTTTTCTTTGAAAATGAGGGTTCCCATGTTTCTCGTCTTGATTACCATTTCGGCTTTGGTCATTTCCTTTGCCGAAGCTAATGATCCAAGTCCACTTCAAGACTTCTGTGTGGCCATTGGTGACCTCAAGAATGGTGGTAAGTATAAAACTCGAATTCTTGAACTCTCAACTAATTATTATTCTCCTTTATTATTTTGTAAGTTCGATTCTCCTCAACTAATTATTACTCTCAATATTTGTACTTGCAGTTTTTGTGAATGGTAAGTTCTGTAAGGATCCGAAGCAAGCGAAGGCAGAAGATTTCTTCTTCCCAGGCCTCAACAAGGCAGGAAACACTACTAATAGAGTCAAATCCAACGTGACAACAGTCAATGTCGACCAGATTCCGGGGTTAAACACTTTGGGAATATCCTTGGTCCGCATAGACTATGCGCCTTATGGACAAAACCCGCCTCACACGCACCCTCGTGCCACTGAGATCCTTGTTCTTGTCGAGGGAACATTATATGTAGGTTTTGTCTCTTCCAATCAAGACAATAACCGTTTATTCGCCAAAGTGCTGAACCCCGGCGACGTGTTCGTGTTCCCCATAGGAATGATCCATTTCCAAGTGAATATTGGGAAGACCCCTGCAGTGGCTTTTGCTGGACTAAATAGTCAGAACGCTGGTGTTATCACGATCGCAGACACTGTGTTCGGGTCAACGCCCCCGATTAATCCAGATATTCTCGCTCAGGCGTTTCAGTTAGATGTCAATGTTGTCAAGGATCTTGAAGCCAAGTTTAAAAACTAAATCTAGTCACCAACAATATGAGTGTTTATCGTTTTAACACTTAAGTAATGATGTATCAAGAATTAAAGTTTTATGCTTAATAAAATAAAAAGGTGTTTATCACCTAATTTGATATTTAATTTTAAATTTCCTTTTCCAATATACCATTCTGTCTTACAACTTTTTAAATGTCGGGGTATTATAATTTTCTTGGATATTCAGTCAAGTCTTTAACAGTTGTTAGAATGATAACAAAAAAAAGTATAAGCCATCAAATAATATTTACAAGGGTTTTTAAAGGGTTTTAAAAGGATTTAAAAGTGTTTTGAAAGGATTTTAAAATGATTTATAAGGCTTTTTAAAGGATTTTAAATGGATTTAAAAGGATTTGCAAGGGTTTTAAAAGATTTTACAAAGGTTTTTTATGAATGGTACATAATGTTTACAAAGATATAACTAAATCTAAAAGTACATATTGGTTGTGACTGGTTAACTTTAGTAGAAGAAAATAAAATGGAAGAAATCAAATTCTTCTTAAAGTGTACCAGTCAAAAATAAAGTGGAAGAAAAATATTTCTTCTTAAAAGATCAAGAAGTAATTAAATCTGATTAATTCTTCCATCTTCACAGCAAGTAGAATACATTTTTCCTCTTGATATGACTATTCTTTTCTTCTATTTTTTCTTCTCATTTATTCTATTTCTTAAACCAGTCACACCCAATGTGTTTTTCATTTCAAAAGTAAATAACATGGATCAGATCAGTGTTCAAGAAAGCGCTAGATGCTAAGCGGACGGTGACCCAGTGCCTACCGCCTAAAACTTTAATTGAAATTGAAAAAATACATTAAACAAGATGTATGTAATTTTATGCGGTCAAAGCGGTTATCTAGGCGTCGCATGAGAGCCTAGCGCCTAGTCGGGGCCTAGGCGACTGCCTAGACCGCTTTTTAGAACACTGGATCAGATAGAAGTGTCAATATATAACTGTGTACTTCTAAGTAATCGATTATCAAATGGTCAGATAGAAGAAACAGGGATGAACTTTCTGACATTATTTCACAGCTCCAAGCCAAATTCCCCTGTCTTTGTTATCTTTTTAAACTCTAGTATTGACTTTATTAATTAGGCAGAGGTATCAAACGGCAATAAGAATGCAAAATTTACCTTTTTCAAGATTTAATGTATACATTTAGCTATTTTATATTCAAAAACCGATGGGTAAATCTATCCATATTTCAGGCATATATCAGTTGAAGTAAACATTTACACACATATTTAAACATATAACATGCGTTTTCAAGAATCATACTTCGGATAAGATTGAATTCTCTTCTTCAGGGCAAGATGATGGGAGCATTGGCGATGCAGATAATTGTAAAAGAGACTTAGGAGGAGCTTCAAGAGCACTTAAGCTTCCCTCCATCATCTCAACAACTCTGTTCATTGATGGGCGATCTGATGGGCATGCTTGAATACATGACAATCCCACAAGAACCATCTTTTTCGCGAAATCTTCATCTTCGTCTTCTGTTATCAATGAGAAGCCTTTTACAGTCTTTCTTTTCAAGATCCTTATAGATCCAATCTGGGAAGTACATTGAACTGATGTTGTTGCTGGATACAGAATTCCTCTTTCTTGCTCCTATCATCTCAAGAACCAACTTTCCATAACTATACACATCCGACTTGTGAGAGACTCTCCCATACATTCTTGAAAACACTTCGGGTGCGATGTACCCGATGGTTCCTCTCATCTCTGACATCAACAAGACACTTTCCTTACTCCCACATAGCCTGGCAAGTCCAAAATCAGAAATCTTTGGACAGAGATCTTTTCCCAACAGCACGTTCTGTGGTTTTATGTCGAAATGGACGATCCTTATCTTGCAAGCATAGTGCAAGTACTGAAGTCCTCGTGCAACTCCAAGTGAAATCTCATACATTTTTCTCAGATCAATGGATGAGGCCTCGCCGGATATAAACTTATCGAGTGACCCATTTTCCACAAATTCATATATAATCGCTTGTTTGGAACTTTCAAAGCAATATCCAAGAAGAGAGACTATATGAACATGAGATGTTCTGCTCATACTCGCCACTTCGTTTATGAAGTCTTCACCGTTTCTCTTTGACTCTTTCAAGACCTTCACTGCGACCTTGAGACCGGCCCCAATGGTTCCTCCATATACAATTCCGAATCCCCCTCTCCCGATTTCTTGAGCGAATGAGTTTGTCATTTCGCTAATCTCTGTGTAGCTATACCGTTTCAGCGGAATAAGTTCCTCAAAATTCCCAATCATTGGATTTTTAAATGCATCTATCTTCTCAAAAAAGAATTCAGTCACTGATGCAATCAAACTTCCTACAAATATTAGGAGTAACGCCGCTGCAATTGAAATCTTTGTTTAGATAAACTTCGAACATGAAAGATCCAACACAAAACTCAAAAGAAAATCTCTCTAGGAAAACTAACCTTTAAAAACCATCACGAAGACCTTACCGATGACTGTTACAAAAGAATAGAGTAAAGCCTGTGTTGCAAAAAAAGAGTTGCAAAAAAAAAATCAAAATGGAAACTCACCATCATCATCAGAATAAATACTGCATTTGATTGTATTGATTCCTTCTTCTAAACTTTCCTTGCAGCAAAATTGTGTTCCAAACTTGTTGATCCCTCAAGTTCCACCACTTGATAAACATTTTTGACATGGTCTCTCATCGATCTTCAGCTTCACTTTAAATCCTTTTCCCGAGACACTTTCCAACATACTCAGATTCCACGCTTCTTCTTCAGGTACGAAGCCTTCAGGGGCGATAACATTGAAAATCGTTTGACAAGATTGATGATATGCTTGGCTTTGGTACACCGAGCCAATTCTGCCCTCTGAACAAGTGAAATTCTCGAGGTAACGGATACGAGGGTCGCAGTTGAAGAAAACCGTTAGGTTCTTGTAATTCGGCGAAAGCTCATAGAGTTCGAGAGGGATTTTCATGTCGGTGAATGGAACAGAGCAGAAGGGACAAGAAGAATTTTGCCTGGCAAGTGTAAGAGTGTTGAGTTTGTTGTCTATTTGGTGAACATCATATGAGATGTTGGAGAATGTTAAAGAGGTTTTGTTTGAAACTCTGTCGCAGCTAAGCTTTAGATATGGATGACCACAAGGAAGCTTGCTGTGATGTTTCCACACTCGAAAACAGAGTCACATGAGAAGAGAGATGGGTTACTTAGAGTACAAGGAAGGAACATGGACAATATCACCAAAATAAACCCTAAGAGTGTTGGAGGATCCATCAATTTTTTAAACGTAGAGTTCGTTTGGAGAGGTATTAAAAGAAGAAAAGAATCAGAAAATGAAGTCAATAAGCAGGAAACTGCTCCATACGCCAAGTCCTCTGTTTCTATTCTGTTAGTTGACTGGGTCTAACATTGAGCGTACAGAAAACTCTCGACAAGGAGTTTTCGAAAGCTTAGATCCAATAAGGTGTTAAACTGCTACCAACGCGATTGCGATTGCGATTGCGATTGAGTTATGAATATTAACGCTTGAAAAAAAGACAGAACAGAAGAAACAAAGTCTAGTTATGGTTAAGAGCCATACACCTGTCGTAAGAAAAATCTCTCCACCTTATCAAGTCAACTTAAGTCTCCTCTTTCTGTAGCCTTATTCACTTTGTGTTTTTTTTTTTGGTTTATAATCACAGCAGAAATATTCACACAGTACCTCCTGGTTTCTCTTTCTCTACCATCCATGGGAATCCAAATAACTGGGTTCTGTCTCATCTTATTATTCTTTTTTTATCATCTTCCTTGTGCTCTAAGCCAGCAAGAACGAAGTGAGTTATGTGATTCTTATTCTTATCAGTGTGGTGACATCACGGCCTTTTATCCCTTGTGGGGAGAGAATTGCGTTGGCGAATCGGATTACCCTACTCTGAAACTTAGCTGCAACAAATTCTCAAATACAACAACTCTTACAATCTCAGGCCACAACTACAGTGTCCTCCATATAGAGAACTACTACATGGAGTATTTCCCACGCCACGGCATTTCTAAGAATCTTAGACTTTCCAGACAGGATTTCTCCGACCCTTTCTGTTCTGCTTCATTTAACTCCACACCTTTGCCTTCAGATCTCTTCCAAATTTTGCCATCTTATAAAAGCCTCACTGTGTTCTACGCTTGTGACCCTCGTCGTCATTTCCTTGGGAATTTCACATGTCCAGTGAAAGGTCTTGGCTCTGTGATTCAAAACTCTATGTATCATAAACTTTGCGATGAGAGTTTCAGCGTCACAGTTCCTACGAGTTTTGTTCCAGAGGAAGAAGCTCTGAATTTCACCAATTTGGAAAGTGTTTTGAGAAAAGGTTTCGAGGTGAAGCTGACTTTATCTGATGGTAAAATCACTTATCTTGAATTGCGTTAGCCATGAATCCAATCTTTTTGTATAAAACATTGTTTAACTAGTCCATTAAATTTGCGCAGGAATGTACCGCCAGAATCGTGTCATACTAATAATAATCGGTACAGGTTAGTTTTGTTTGGCCACAAAGTTATCATTTTGCAAAACGCTTTTTAGTTCATTTGGTTGAACGTGAGTCTCCAAAACGTAGTGCACGAGAAATCAAAACAATAAGAAATGGCAATTTTGAAATTAACTGTATTTTTGAAATTATCTGTATTTATGAAATTTTACAGCTTCAGCTTCAATATTAGTGGTATTGGTGATTATGATTCGAGCAGTTTTGTTCTGGGAGAAAAGGAAACCAAAGTCTCTGAGAGATGAGAACCTTGATGCGCTTGTAACCCTGAGACGGTATAGTTATGGAGAAATCAAGAAAATTACAAAATCATTTGCACAAGTAGTTGGACGAGGAGGATTTGGAACTGTATATAAAGGGATGTTACACAATGGTCGTAAAGTAGCCGTGAAGCTCTTGAAGAATTCAAAGGGAAACTTGGGAGATTTCATCAACGAAGTCGCAAGCATGAGCAAAACATCTCATGTTAACATTGTTTCTTTGCTTGGTTTCTGCTATGAAGGATCTAAAAGAGCGATTGTGTATGAATTTCTAGAAAATGGATCTCTAGATCATTCGTTGAGTCTTGATGTCAGTACACTATATAGAATCGCGCTAGGCGTTGCTCGGGGAATAGAGTACTTGCACTTTGGTTGCAAAACAAGGATTGTGCATTTTGACATTAAACCACAGAATGTATTGTTAGATGAAAATCTCCGACCCAAAGTTGCTGATTTTGGCCTCGCTAAGCTCTGTGAGAATCAAGAAAGCATCTTGTCATTGCTTGACACGAGAGGAACTATAGGATACATCGCTCCAGAACTGTTTTCAAGAGTGTATGGGAATGTATCTCACAAGTCGGATGTGTACAGCTACGGAATGTTGGTTCTTGAGATGACCGGAGCAAGGAACAAGGAAAGAGTCCAAAATGCTGATTCGAACAATAGCTCGGCTTACTTTCCAGATTGGATCTATAAGGATCTTGAAAATGGAGATTACGTAAAGCATCATGGCGATGGACTAACCCGAGAGGAAGAAGATATTGCGAAAAAAATGATCTTGGTGGGTCTATGGTGTATTCAGTTCTGCCCATCAGACCGTCCATCAATGAACAAAGTTGTAGAGATGATGGAAGGAAGTTTGGATTCTCTTAATCCTCCTCCTAAGCCTCTTTTGCATATGCCTATGCAAAATATTGCAGAATCATCTCAGCCATCAGAGGAGGAAAGCTCAATTTACTCAGAAGTATGATTCTTTGATTGTTGTGAATATTTATATTCTTGTATGATGATGTTCGAGTAAATTTTCTTTTATTCCAGTCCAAAACTAAATAAATTTGAATAAGTTGTTTGAAAACAATAATGAAGCAAAATAAAACAAGAAGAAGACTAAATTATAGGGAATTTTGATTCGCAAGGAGATTGAGGAACATCAGTAGAGACAGAAGCAGACATGTATGGCTCGAACACTACTGCTAGGTACTCTAGGTACTCTTTCGTAGGAGAAATTCCGAGCACATGGCAAAGCATTGGGAAGTCTTCCGTAGTATTAAGTCCGATGTCTTTGCACATCTGTCTCGCCTTGTTTTCCTGATCATCGAGCTCTTGTTGCAGCTTAGATTTTTCATCATTGGCCAAAGCCATAATGAGTGGGATTTTTGCTTCTAGGTGACCTACTGTATCGATTTCTTTCAGGAGAATGTTTATTTCGTTCTTGATGTGATTGATCGCATCAAGAATACTCATCCCTTCGATGGAAATCATCCTACAAAAAGAAGTAAGAAGAATCAAACAAAATTAAATTCTGTTTAGAGCTAGTTTTAATTATTATTCACAGATTTGAGGAAACTCGGATTAGACACCATAAACAAGGTTCCAAATTCAAAACCCTAGAAACAGAGAAACAAAGAAGCTACATATATAACCCCAACACCGTGTCCGTGCGGACCCTAGCTCATTATTCTATCGGAGCAGATAAAAAATATTACTTCTATAAAAAATTACCCTAGCTCATTATTCAAACGCAAACGAATCTAACCATAGATTCGTGAAAGCCAAACCCTACCCTAGCACAAAAAATACATAGACGAAGCAATAAACCCTAGAATTACCAATGAACAAGGGAGATAATTGAAACGGGGCGAAATATCACAAAGAGTTGACGACAACAAACCTTACTGTTTCGCTTGTGGGCACTGAATGGGAATAAATATTAGGGATGAATAATTTGAGGTTTTCTATAATATTGCTGTGTTTGATACAAGATGCTAACATACATATATATAGTATTTAATATTAACATATTGCTAAACACCACGCAATGTAAACTTTCCTAATCTGAATCTAACACATAAAGGAATAACAGTAATAATGGAAACATGCTAGAATAATATCGAGATTAATGTCTTGTTTTCTAAGTGTTGGAGCTGGATTTCGCACCTCAAAATCCATTAGCGAAAACACTAAACGGGCCTTACGCATCAGACCTGGCCCATCGGCCCATACAAGAACAAGAGGTGACTTGATGACGAAGCTGGACCAGGTCAACAGAGATCTCGGGACAGACCTAGAATCCAGGGGGAGTTGGCAAGGATTTCGGAGCTAATAACCTAGTTCGAGGTCCTATATATATAAGGAGAGGAGGCGACTTAGAGAAGACCATCGCCTGCTGGCTCACAAAGACCTAATATTTCACACACTTGTATTCTCATACTTTTCACTATACTCACTTGATTCATATCAATAAAATCCTCTCGTTCTTAGCAATTCAATTCTCAGAGTTTCATTGAATATCGAGCCCTCTTTGCCCATAAAAACTAAGTACAAATCTCGAGGGGGGATTTCAGCACCCACACTAAATCTTTCTATTTATGTTTCACTGGTTTCATTTCAAAAACGGACCACGATAACCTATAATCCTTGGTCCGCAAGTTACATGTCTTACTCCCTAAATTTGTGGGATCGAAAATTTAGGTGAGCTCCAAGTTTCTTGGATTTTCCATAGTTCTCGAAACTGCCTCAATTCCATTCTGCATACGTCATATAGGCTATAGCACTATGTTAGATGACAAGAAAACTATCTTTCCAAACAAACCATCTTTCTTTGCTTATGTTATGAGAGATCAAGAACTTGTTCTTGCTATCACTTAAGGATTTTTTTTCGAAAAAGTTGGTTTTTGGAATAACCAATGACTTCAAGTGACTTATCGTTTTTGGAATATACCCTTGAGAGAAATGATAAGCTAAACAAAAAGTTCCAAATAGAAAAGATTGAGATTAATACAGAACAGAAGAAACAAGATATGTAAAAATTAAATCAATTTGTTCAATCACATGAAGAATTCAATTCAGATCCACGCACCTATCATTGATTTCAAAGAAACCATCTTCAACATCTATAAGAAAAGTCAACAAATTCAATCCTTCTTTCTTTTAGTTCACTTTTTGTTTTTTTTTTTTTGGTTTCTAATCACAGCTGAAGTATTCACACATCTCATGGGATCTCCAACAACTAGGTTTTGTCTGATCTTGATATTCTTGTTTTATCATCTTCCTTTTGCTCTAAGTCAGCAAAAGCCAAGTGGGTTATGTGAAACTCTGTTTCAGTGTGGCAATATCACTGCCGGTTTCCCTTTCACGGGACAGAATCGCAATAGATTCTGCGGTAACCCTTCTCTTGAACTTACCTGCAACAAAAGGTTCAACACAACCTCTATTATGATCTCAGGCTACAACTATACTGTTCTCAATATAGACAACAAATGCAACATTCTTAGACTTTCAAGACAAGATTTCTCTGGTCCTTTCTGCTCTGCTTCATTCTCCTCCCCACCTTACCTTCAGATCTCTTCCAGAATTTACCTTCTTACAAAAGCCTCATTGTGTTCTACGCTTGTGACCCTCGTGCTCGTCGCCATTTCCTTGGGAATTTCACATGTCCAGTGAAAGATCTTGGCTCTGTAATTCAAAACTCTACGTATCATAAACTTAGTAATGAGAGTTTTAGTGTCACGGTTCCTACAAGTTTTGTTCGAGAGGAAAAAGTTTTGAATTTGACAAATTTGGAAAGTGTTTTGAGGTGAAGCTGAAGATGATTAATGAGATATTTTGTCAAGAATGTTTACCCTCAGGTGGATGCTGTGGCTTCCAATTTTCCAGACATGATTGCTGCAAGAACGTATCGGGATCAAGAATCAGTTGCCGTACTGCAACGTATACATCTGGTGGTAAAGAAATGATATTTTGTATATTTCATTTGCAAGGTCAATAGTAGTTGTATTTGTGGTGATAAAATCTTCGCATAAATCTATATGTATAGTATAAATTCACATACAATCAAAGGATCCGTTGTAGCACATAGGCTATATGCTCCAATGATCAGTTTGATCCTTGCTCATCCCGGGTTCAAAGCCCGGCAACGGAAATTATTTTTTTGTTAATTTCAATTTCAAACTCATAAAGCACTTAGTTGTAAAAACAATTATTTTTCTTTTTGAATATAATTTAACATTAAATTAAAAACATAAAAATATATTAAATCTATACTAAAATCTTCGCATAAATCTATATGTATAGTATAAATTCACATACGATCAAAAGATCCGTTGTAGCACATAGGCTATATGCTCCAATGATCAGTTTGATCCTTGCTCATCTTGGGTTCAAAGCCCGGCAACAGAAATTATTTTTTTGTTAATTTCCATTTCAAACTCATGAAGCACTTAGTTGTAAAAACAATTATTTTTCTTTTTGAATAATTTAACATTAAATTAAAAAAATAAAAATATATTAAATCTATTAAAAAATCTTCGCATAAATCTATATGTATAGTATAAATTTACATACGATCAAAAGATCCGTTGTAGCACATAGGCTATATGCTCCAATGATCAGTTTTATCCTTGCTCATCCCGGGTTCAAAGCCCGGCAACGGAAATTATTTTTTTGTTAATTTCAATTTCAAACTCATGAAGCACTTAGTTGTAAAAACAATTATTTTTTTTTTGAATATAATTTAACATTAAATTAAAAAAATAAAAATATATTAAATCTAGGGAAATTCCTAAAAATAGCCCTAAAACAATTTTTATTGACAATAATAGCACACACTCCATAAACTTCCAAAAATAGCACTAGTTAACTTATTATTAGTGTTTTTGATCTAAAAATTTTATCACTAGTTTTTTTTCAATAATACCACAATTTTTATATAAAAGCTATTCAACAAAATAAATTAGAAATAAATTTAAAATATTATATTTGGGTTCTCTATTTCCAATTTAAGGTATATATTTCCACCATTTAAAAGAAATTTTGATTCATTTGAATATTAGTTTATGGTATTATATTTAGGTTCCCTATTTCCAATTTAGGGTATATATTTCCACCATTTAAAAGAGATTTTTATTTTAATATTAGTTTGTGGTATTATATTTGGGTTCCCTATTTCCAAATTAGGGTATATATTTCCACTATTTAAAAACAATTTTGATTCAATTTAATATTAGATTAGTGTTTGCTCTCTATCTATTTTCTATCTTATATTTTCATTAAGTTAAATTGAAGTTTATGGTGCTATTTGTGGAACTTTTCAAATGAGGTGCTATTTTTGGAAAAAACAATCTTTTTGGGGCTATTTGTGTCAATCTCCCATCAATCTATATGTATAGTATATATTCTCATAATATCAAAAGATCCGTTGAAACACACACAAGCTGTATGCTCTAATGATCTCTTTGATCTTGCTTATTCCGGGTTCAAAGCCTGGCAGCAGAAATTATTCTTTTCAAGTATGAATATGAATGTTCGATCGATCCTATAAAACCACATTATATTATCTAAAGTCTAGTACTCGGATATTCGGTTATGTTCAGGTCTCGGGGTTTTCTTGTTATGGGAAAAGTAACCAGGTGGTATTAATGTAAAACTAGTCAGTCATTACAGCTTTTGTACCATGAAAAAGTTACAACCAAATATGAAATCAAGACTTTTGAGTTTGATCTGTTTCTATCAGAAAATACATACACAAGCCTGAGAAAAAACAAAACACACGTTATAAATTTATGCAGAAACATATTTAGTGGCTGCAGAGAGAAAACAAAATACATGGATTACAGAAACAGGAGTTACAAATAACCTGTTTTGGTGATGGTTCTGACCTCTTTATGTCACCAGACTAGACCTTTTTTCCTTCTAAACCTATCAATGCTCATTCGGGACTTCTCCGGTTTACTAGTCTTCTTAGATTTCTCCAGCTGACTGTCTACACTGTTTCTAGAAACTTCTGGGAGGCAGCAACCGAGTTGAAATGTATCAGAACGACCGTTCTCTGAAGGCTTGCTCTGGTTTTTGGTTGTATCCGTCGTTACAGTCTTGTTCGAACCATTTCTTGGTCCCTTGGGTTTGGAAATCGATATTACGAATTTCTTCAAATGTTTTATGAACTCTGGATAGAGTTCTAGATTGCAGTGTCCTCCTCCAGATACCCATAAAGGTTCATACTTCTCTTTTGAAAGTTCCCAAAGTTGTTTTCCATGAGAACAATCAACCACTTCATCTGCAGTCCCCTACCAGACAAAACAATAGAGTTAAAAACCTCTCAGTGGTTTAAATTCAGACTTATGTTACCAATCTGTTTAAGGCACAACACGATGATTTCTTCAACTTATTCATGTTTCCCGGGAGAAAAACAGGTCGGAAGTAATAAGAGGAGACAGATCATTATCTATTGATTCCTTTTGGAGAAATACTCAAGTTGGCTACTCAATAAATATCTCATAAATTCAACAACTTGAGTTTCACCAAACATTTTCTTGTCAAATGGTCCAATTAACCTACAAGTTTTAATTCATTGCAAGAATCTGTGGAGGCAATAGGTGACAACAAGATTCCACCAATAATGAGAAAATCGAAGGGAAAGCGAAAGAGACAGTAATGAAAGAGGAATGATCATTTACTCACATGGATTACTAAGACAGGACTTGTAACTGCACCGATCTTGTCGATATTCTGAAACAAGGAATTAGGCGTGTAAGCATGAACACATGAAAACAAGAACAAACATGGCTGAATGTTAAATAAATCACCTTGTAAATGTCAAACCAATATGTACGTTTAACCGGATACAAAACTCTCATCCCAGAGAGAATAGGGCTGTGCAAAACCACCCCTCTTAAATTAGGCGTGCGTGAAGCTAGATCAATCGTTGGTCCACTACCAACAGACTGACCATATAAGATCAGTTGATCATCTTTTACACCATAATGTTCCTTGAGGCAGGTATATGATGCATCTATATCAGCATATGTATTACATTCACTTGCCTGATTCAAGTAACAAACTTAAATCCATCAAAAAACAATCCGTGGACTCTCTTAACATATTACGAGAAGGTCAGATACATTTTCATATAGTTTAGCTAGGATACTTACCTTTCCAGTAGACTGACCATAACCAGAGTAGTCATACCTGGAAAAGGAAACCAAAAGATGAATTAAAAGAACTATCACCTATCACCTACTCAACTCATCATTGTATATAACTGCTATATCAACCGTGATGGCTGCAAGAACACAAGTCAACCGGAAAAGCTTTTGCTACTTGTAGTAAACACTTCAAGATATGACACAAATAAATCAAACACAAGCAAAGTTACCAATTTCCAGTCTTCATAGAAATCTAGTCAATGTAGAAATTCGTTAATGTTGTTAAAGTACACTAAGCAAGTATGCATGAAGATATGCGAAATCGCTTTCTTAGAGTCCAAATTCTTCTTATACCACAGAGGACAAGTATGACTAAAACAGTTGTAGTGAAAATGCTTGCATCACAAAAGTCAAATTATTTCAACAGAAATGTCAACACATTAAGAAAAAAAACTTAGATGGAGACTATATGAATAAATTTTGGCTATAATCTCTGACTTTCATTTGTCATTTTGTTGTTATAATCTCTGACTTTCATTTGTCATTATGTTGTAACAATTCCAGGAATATAAACCATTAATGACCAATCATTCTTTTGTTTTACATCTTTGGATCGACAAGGCACGATCCATAGCAAATTCCTACTACGCAGTGTAATGCAACTCAAGTCGAACTCCAGTAGGGAAAGTAGAGTCAAATAGATGTAACCACTTAACTAAAGACACATCCTCCATTAATGAACAATCCAAAACCAAATCTTTTATTCAATTTAACAAAATATCAAAGAGATAGATAAAAGATCCAAATTAGTCAAATTTGGAATGTAAAATCCAAAACTTTCTCCTTAGAAATCGAAGCTTTATACAAAAAACAGAGAGAAAGATAAAGATAAAAACTTACCCCATGAGATTAAGTCGGAGACGATTACTAAGCTCAACAAAAAGCTCAAACATTTGACCCAAATCAGCAGCGTTACCATGTGAATACAAAAGCGTACCATTAGCTTTAGGATGTTTAATATAAATAGCTACAATCTCGTTACCACGACGAGTCTTTAGCTTCAATACATCAACATCATCACGGCGAGGTACTTCTGTTATATATAATCGGTCAACGTCGGAAACAAATCCGTAAGACGGTGGTGATGGCGGGAAAAAAGCGAATTTTGCGGCGATTGATGAAGTTACTCCTCCCATGACGATGATGATTCTCTTATCATCACACACATAAATTAGTAGAAACCCTAAGGTTTTGATTGATTTCTCTTTTTGTTTTTGAGATCTTGAGGTGAAGAAGAAGGAGAAAATGATAGGACGATGGAAAAAGGAGAAGTGAGAAAGATAAAGAAGGAAGAAGAAGAAGAAAAGGAAAAGTTGAAAACGAAAGAGTTTTAGATTTGAGATTTTTTTTATGGTTTACACGACGGTGGCGCGTGAAAGATAACAAGCGGCGCGTGTGAGTTGAGAGGAACAGTTGCGAAGTTTCGTTGAAAAATAATGTCGTGGTTCTCTCTAAATGGCCGTTGTGAAACGGAGCTTTCACTTCTTTATTTGTATTTTATTTTACTTTTGATATATATTTTTTTTGTTAAAACATTTTTGTTTTTGTTTTTTTAAAAAGAAATTAATTAAGTTTCGAGTATCAATTTTCGCGAATATGTTTGGAGATCAATTCTGTGACTGTGTGTATATTATTTTAGAAATTATAAAGAAAAAGGAGTAAAAAGTGATAATTTATTGAAGCTTATGTCATTATGGTTGTTATAATGAAGAAATTATATTTACTACCTTTTTTTTGTCAAACTATAGTACTAATATTTTCATAAAACTATGACTAAGAAAATAATCTTCAGAATCTTTGGATCTAGATTTATATAATAATCTTTTTTCTTAACCTTAATTTATATAATAATCATAGAAGTCATGTTATGTTATTATTATATCTATATTAGTAGTTTTGAAGTACATTTTAAAAAGAAACTTTTGTTTAGTAAGATATCATTGATTTAAAGAATAAATTAGGAATTCATTAATATGAAATAGAAAAATATTTCTATCTATGTATCTAAATAAGCTTTACAATTAATTTTTTACTATTCATATAATCAAATATTATAATATGAAATATGTCGAATTAAGTTGACTCAATTAAGATTGTAAGATTGTAAGAAATAAACGTCATGCAGTATACCGCCAGTTAAATGTTATTCCCTCCGTTTCACAAAGAGTGTCGTTTTAAGGTTTTAATCTTGTTTCACAAAGAGTGTTGTTTTATGTCTTCAATGCAGTTTTTAAGACTAATTCTCTTTTTTATCCATACTTTTTCAGCTTATTAATTAGAGAGAGGATATTATCTAATATATTAATAAGGGGTAGAAAAAAAATTTGTTTACTTTTCTTAATTTATGTGAAAAATGGTAGAATGGCACTTTTTTTTTTTTTGTCAACAGCTTAAATTAGACGCTCAAAAGAGCCAATCCTGCGGAATGTTGACACTCTTTGTGAAACAAATGGAGTAGTAAATAACCGTCCTCTATTGGTTGTCCAACTCAGACATAACGAGTTTACAAAGGTAGCTCTATATTAATTTTTATTTTTAATTATTGTTAAAAGGAATATGTAGTCTGCATTAAACATATACTTCGAATAGTCTTCAAAAGTAACCTTTAACTTCGAATTGTAAATTAAAGGCACCTTTTCATAGTGCCTTTTCATAGTTTTCCCAACTTATTTGACTTAGTATTTAAGATGATAGTCGATAAATAACGTACCTCACAATTTCAAAATATTGTACATATCTTTTTCGTTTTTCTCTTTTAAAATTCCAATGGCCATGTAAATATTCGTGAGCTGTGGTGACTTGTGGGAGTGGTGGATTTCAATTCACGTTAACGGAGCAAATACAGTTAGTGGCATCCCACTTCTCCATATAATCCAGCTGATTGTTGCTTGTGGAGACATATAGAATTCATAAAATGAAGAATCTTGTTTCTTTTTTCTTTTTTTTGATAAACGAAGAATCTTGTTTCTTAGTATAAGACTATTGTTTTGACCAAACTGAAAGTAAAATGATAATTTAATTCATGTTTTTCGTTCTGAATTTTCCAGTTTATCAATGTGTCTATTTTTATATGATAATTTCATTTTATGACTAGGATACCAAAAATATACTACTCCTTCCGTTTCGTTTTAGTTGTCGTTTAAGGTTTTTTCACACAAATTAAAAAAAGCATTAAATTTTCTGTTTTACCCTTTATTAATATATTTTATAAAAAATTTCATTGGCCAAAACATTAAAATAGTAAGGATACAACTGAAATTTTCGCCAAACATTTGCATTGAAAACCTAAAACGACAACTATTATGAAACAAAATTTAAATCCTAAAACGACAACTAAACTGAAACGGAGGGAGTATATCTTACTTGATTATGGCTCGTACTATACAATACGGATTGATTATACTTATCTTATGTAATGTGTTTTAAAGACCGAAATATCTATATTAGCTTATTTTGTATATGAAGTTATAAATATGCAAATTACATTAATTATACAATTACAAATAGTAGGTATAATTAAATCTATGTTGTAATGCAATTGCAAATATTTGGGATAAATGATAAAAGTTTTATCGGGAATTTGATAAAGTGGGTTAGTATATCGGTAGTATCTCCCTCGGAGGACTTGACTGAGGAGAAAAATCGAGATTTTGATAAGATATCAAAACTATTTTGTAAGCAGTGCATGGTTAAATTTCTTCAGAGTTCGAAAGCCTAACCTTCCGTCCGATAGTTGAGTACTAGGCTTTTTCTAGACAATCCAGTGGATTTTTTTTATATTCTGCTATTGTCTTTCTCCAAAAATCCACAATAGCACTGCTCAATTTCAAGTGAATGATTTTAAATAGGAGAAAACACGACATGAAATATGTCAGAATGACAATTCACAAACTAGGATACTATGGATTCTTTTTTTTTTTTTTGTCAATCACACATTAATTAAAAAAGTCATTCCATGAATGGTTGCCTAATCAGGAGGAGAAGAGTTTACAAAAGTAACTTCCGAAAGTAGAAGTCTAGAAGATCGAGCTAAACAATCCGCTTTAGAATTACATAAACGGAAAATAGAAGAAAGAGAGAAAAGAGGAAAAGAAGCACCGAGCAAACTAAAATCATCTAGAAGATTGGAGAAAGCGGGATACTATGAATTATATTTAAATATTCTTTTATATATAATTTACAAATCCTAACATATGAAGATCCCAACGTTTGGTGCAATATTTTTTGGGGGTTTTTAAACCTTCACCTTTTAGTAAAAGGTTGAATAACCTCTAATATTAATTAACTCAACTTAAATTTAGAAAATCATTATATTAAAATAGAAATAAATAAAAAAATTTGATTTAGGATTTGTTTCTTCTGAAATTATAGTTTATAATTATTTATAAATTGAAATTATTGAGTCATAATGTGAAAAAGTTAATTAATGAATTTTTCTTCAGTTGTGTTATACAAATTCATCAACGTGAAACCAAACCAATTTTGTTACTAGTGATATATAAATTCTTATATCGAACCGAATATGAATTTATGATAATACATGTTTATTTGGGATCACACAAATTTACTAAGGTGAAACGAAACAAAATTTTATAATACTACGAAAAGTATAGATAATTAAAAATATAATAGGAATTACATTTAATTAACTATTATTTAAAAAAATTTCATCCCATTCAATCTGAATTTTGTTATAATTTTGACCATTTCTTAAATCCAAACCTGAAAAACTTGAACAACCAAAAAAATTGAATGTTCTATCCTAAAATTTTATAATTTATATAACAAAACTTCTAATGGTAACGAAACTGATTTGCCTAATTAAAAATTTTCTATAGCAAAAACTAAATTTTAGAAAACAAATACGCAAACTAGAATTTGGGAAACATAAATCATAAATTAAAATGTTTTTTAATGGTGAGGGCTAAAAGACAAAATTAACCCTCATGAAAGAGAGACAATTGGACATTCGTCCGACATTAGTTGTCTTTACCATCTCTGAATCTGAACTCCATTGATGAAATTTAAACCCTAAGGAAGCTTAATGTGTGTCAGGTTTTAATCCTAAAGAACACAACGATAAAGCTGCAAGTGCACAGCAAATCAATTGTAGTACTTAAGGTATCGATCCCACAGAGACTAATAAGTTATAGGACGAGTTTTATGAAGAAGGAATATGTCTAAGACAAATCAAAAGAGAAGTTTGGTTTTGGGTTTTGTAACTAAACTAAACTAAAAATAAAAGCAATGTAAACGATCAAGATAAATCAATAAAACGAATGTCGGGCTGCAGGGAATTCTCAAGGTATCATGGATCGAATCATGCTAGGAAATCAAACTAGGAATTTCGGTTATTTATGTTCAGGAACTAGAATTTTGATTAAGAGATTGGTCTACTCCCATAGCACCAATAACTATGTCTAAACACCCTAAATTACTCTATTTCCGCAGGTAATCAAGATGCTAAACATGCATAAACAATCCAAATTCAATAAGCTCACAAAGCTTTATAACTCAACTATCGGTTGGTTATAACGCTTTGCTAATCTAAATTACTTTAGGCGATTTAAATCTATCCTAATAGCAGTAGCTAGACGGTCAATCAAGCAGTAAGCATCAAAGTAAACATAGATTGGAGAACAATAAACTAGAAAACCTAGATCTAATCACCCTAAATAACGATCCATGAATCCCCTTTCGAAAACCCTTAAACCCAACGAGAGAACTACTCACACATACTCATAGAAAGCAAAACCATATGAATAAGAGATTGCATAAAAGAGTATGAATATGAATAGGGTTAAGAGATCTTCTCTGGAATACAAAGTAGATGAATCGTCTCCCTTAAACAAGTAGAGAATAGAGAGAAGAGAAGAAGAGAAAGGTTTGGTGATGATCGGCGATGGCTTCAACGGTGAACGGCGGTGAGAATCGGCGGAGAAGAAGCTTGGAGGCTCTTTGGTCGTTTCTCTATGGTGGCTGCTGAAGATATGGTCGAACACACCCTAGGTTTAGGGTTTACAACTTGTAGTTATATGCCTCGGGAAGTGACAAGTCGGTTTAGGGTTTTTCCGGCAAAACTACGTAGTTTTAATAAGTGCAGGGACGAGGAGGCTTAGCCCGGTCACGAGGGGCTGTGACCGTGCTCCCCAAGAGGCTCCAGCCCGGTCACGCGGGGCTGTGACCGGTGCCAACAAGGGTTCCTCCACCGGTCGCACGCCTTGCGACCGGTCTCTGACAGGCTGACTTCAATCGGCTGTAACTTCTGTTTGGCAGCTGGGATTGGGTTAATTCTTCCTCCATTGTAATCTTGACTCTTCACCAGATTTCTATAGAGTCCAATATCTCCAAATTTGCTTCACGGGAAGGCTTCCAGCGGATGCCTAACTTCTGAAGCTTTGAATCTGTCCTGAAACAGGTTTTGCTCGTCTTTTGGTCCATTTTGCTTAGAAACTCCTAAAACCTTCTTGACTCCATAAATACTTGAATATCTCCTCTTTAGCCTTGAAATCACACCAAACATTTCCTAAAACACAAAAAAACAATAACAAATATGGGCGAAAATCCCATGTTATCAAAGCTAGTAACTGGTAACCCCAAAGGAAAAACTTAAAAGAACTGTGAATCATTCCTATTTCGAAATTTCATATAGCTTAATTTTTGAAGTTTCCCGTCGCGTCTACTACGTTTTTCAACAACCACAATCAGAGAAAATCATCATATATATCCGTTCACACACTTTGATGTTGCAATCGTTTTGTTTTGTGAATCGTTTCGTGTGTGTTCTTCGAAGTTGCTCATCAGCAATTGTTTCGTCATCGGAGTATGTGACAACGTTTTGTCATCGTAAACTTCATGTATAGATATGTATACTAAACTTCATATATGTACGTAATTTATACACCTGAATTCATGCATTAATATTATAAAAATAGAAATTTCAGTTTATTGTTTCTCAATTTCATTTTGCATATAATTGTTAAAATATATATAAGTTGGGTTTTGCACTCTGTTTTGTGCATTTGTAAAGCTTATTTAAACTCAAAAGAAATAACATTAAACAGAAACTACTAAAAAAAATCATAATCTCATACCAAATCATCTTCCAAACAAATTCTCATATTATTACCCAAATCATTCCTCTCATTGAATTAGCTATGAGAGGGAAATGTACGAAGGACACAGAAATTATTAATCAACAACATGAAGTTGAAGTTTATCGTTGGAGAGAAGAAACCGCATGAAGGAGATAATCGAATAAGGTAGTTGGCACAGAGAAGAAAGGAGAATGGTCACTCTCCTCCAAGACATACATTTGAAAAACTGGCCAGTTCTCCACCATTTGGTCTTGACGCATAGGATCAATTATATTGTCCTTAGCAGTCTTGATGTACACTCGAGGAATATTCTCGGCCTTGGGATTTGGAGGCAGCTTATTAAGATCTTGAAAGGCTCTCATAGGAGCAGGACGCAACAATTTTGATGATAGAGTTATGTCCTACAATAACAATTTAATTATTCACCATATAATAATGATAATAATAAAATTATAGTCGCACCCGCAATACACTGTAGATCAATGTTTTCGTTTTTATTGTAGCAAATATTTATATATCTTTTTTTTTGTTCAAAGGGTTTTAGATTGTAATATTGTATGAAAAGATTTATAGCTTTTGTTCCGTTAAAGTTTATTAATGTTTTTCTTTTATTTGCTTGTAAATTAGAAAACAAAACATTATTGGGTTCACTCCTAGGAATCTAGGACCCTCTCCAACATGAGGTTTTTAAGAAGTTCTTAGCATTAATTTTTATAAAAATTAAATGAATAATTGTCTTAAACCTTTTTTTTTTTTTTTTTTTGTGCAAAGTCTTAAACCTAAGAACTCGTTTTTATATAAGAGCCAAAGAACCAGTTCTTAGCATTAATTCTTAGATGGTGTTATTCAATGATGGATTTTAATAGAATTGAAATCCAACACTAATCCAGTGTTATTCAACTAATGATTCTAAATCTAACTTTAAAATATGGTGTTATTGGATCTTATACTTCATTAGATTTTAAAAGTTTGGTGTTATTCAACTAAGATTAAATATACTTCATTAAAATCCAGTGTTATTCAAAATTAAAAGACTTACAAAATCTTTGTATATATTGAATCATTTGAAATGAAACCTCGTTGGAGTTTTATGAGTAAATTATTAGAATCAAAATCCAAGATATACTGCAGAGATTTTGAAATCCACACAAACAGATTTAAAAACAATATCAAAAAACAAATCTAAACCTTAAAGAATTGACTTTAACTCCATGATTGAATAACACCCCCTTAGTATTTCTCTTTCTTCTTCTTTTTGAGAATGTCTCTGGATTCTATGATAAGCCGAAAAATTCGGTCCGAACCCGAACCCGAAAATTTAGATTTACCTATTAGGTCCTAAACTCATATACCCGAAAACCCAAACTGAACCCAAAAATACCCGAATATTTTATTCGAAAACCCAAAATTTAACCCGAAATTTGAATTTTTAACTGAAAACCCGAATATTTACTCCAAGAACATTTATATATAGCGGTTCTAAAAATATATACCCAAACCGACCTAAATCCGAAAGGATCCGAACCGAAACCGAACCGATTTTTTTATTTATCCTATTGGGTCCTAAACACCTCTACCCGAAAGACCTGTAACCGATTTTTTTTTATTTTATGAATTGCAATAATTATTAAGTTTTCTAAAACTAAAAATGTTTATATTTTCATTTTTAAATTAATCTTTTTTTTAAAGAACTCCAACTTAAGATTCTACTACTGGACAATGCCAAAAATTAAACTTTTACCCTAACTCTTAAGTATAAAATCAATAATAAAAATATTGCTAAGAGCCCTTGCTAATATACTACCATTGTGGATGCTCTAATACCCGCTTATATAAAAGTAAGGGTAACAACTTATTTGTACTTCAATTTTAAATTTTTAATACTATAGTAGATGTATTAATTAAGAGAGTAACCTCAAGAGGGCTTTGGTTGTAGTAATAATGGCGTCTAAACTCCTCCTTGATGATGTAGCCAGTGGGTGGCTTATCGGTACCTTCACCAAATGTGTAGTCATGTATTTCTTCTTCTCCCTCAAGAATCTATCAAATACTCACAAGAGTTTACTACTGAGTGGATTGATCTTTATATCATATTATTTTAGACCATAACAAAAAGAGTCACACTCACGTTTAAAATATTTGGAGAAGAGATGGATCCGGGCTTAACCATGGAAGCCGTGATGTAAATGGCCATGGAGATTTTGTCTGTGAACTTGCATAGAGCTTCCGTGACACTTGCTCCACCGATGCTATGTCCAACGAGTATGACTTTGTGGAAAGGAGGGAGGTCGGACAAGAGAGAAAAGAGAGGACGGTTATATTGGTCAGAGTGGAAGACGGTGTTAGAGTCCGTGAGACTGATGCCAGCACCGGTGAGGTCGACAGTGGAGGATTTGAATCCGGCAGCGTCTAGAAGAGTGATGATTTTATACCAACACCAAGCTCCGTGACTAGCCCCATGAACAAACACAAAGTGAATTATGGGATCATCTTCACCACTCTCTCCTCCCATCGCATGAGTCTCGTTTGACGCTTGTACGCACACTCAACCTTTTTAACACCAAGTGAATGCGGTTTTGGTCCATTTAATTTTGTATCTAATTGTACGACTGTCTTAAAGTTTCATTTACTTTCGGTTCTTTGTTGGTTTCTCGTTTATTAGCATTATTAGGTCCCGCAGTAGGTAACTCATTTTCTTTACGTAAGAAATCTTTTAAAACGAAAAAAAAAATATCCACTGTTCACTTCTTTTGATTTATCAACAAAAATATTTACAAGAAAATTACTGACCCATAATTTTATGTGAAATAAAGTTTAACACACACTCAACTGTTTTAACACAAAATGAATGCGGTTTTGGTCCATTTAATTTTGTATCTAATAATTTTACGACTGTCTTAAAGTTTTACGACGGTTGTGATAAAAAAAAAAAAAAAAAAAAAAAAAAAAAAAAAAAAAAAAAAAAAAAAAATTACGACTGTCTTAAAGTTTCATTTACTTTTGGTACTTTCTCGGTTTCTCGTTTATTAGCATTCTTCACCGACAAAAAAAGCATTATAGTGTTCACTATTCACTTCTTTTTATTTATCAACAAAAACTTTTTAGAAAAAAAAACATGTAACTGTTATAAAAAAGAGGAAATCGTAAAGTCGCAAAATGATGCACACATGTTATAAACATTACGTAAATATGTGGAACCCACATCACTATGCGAGCAGAGTAAATTTATCTTTTTTATCTTTATATAAAGAACGATGAATTGTTCGTTGTAAGTTACATCATTTTCGAATAACTTCAAATATAACTAAGTAAAATCTTTTTCTCTCTCGTCTCTTTATTATTCGGTATTCTAATTCTTTGCAAACTTAAAATTTTCTCCATTTTTTTATATTTTATACCCTATAAAATAAAATAATTACTTATAACATGTTAACAACACGATCACTCTAGCTTCGCTAAAAAATACGGTATTATACCGGACGGTATGTTGCCTCGTTAAAAGAAAAAAAAAAGAAAAAACAAAATATGAGAAAATGAAAAAATAAAAGAGAAGAAAAGAAAAGAAAATTATATCAATAAAGAAAAAATATATATATATATATATATATATATATATATATGTTATTTTCTAGTGACTGTTCAGACACTGTTATTTACTCGTTACTGTAGTGGGAGTATTGTCGTCCTATAAGTAATCGTTGTAATGGATGTTTTATACACCATAGCAATGAACGGCTAAACTGCCTATAATGTGGTTGACTCCGTCACCATAATTTATTTATTGTTATAACATGGATGCTTCTGTCACCACAATATTACTGTTAAAATTTATTTCTATTATATTTATATTTTGGTTAATATATAAGGGGGCTCGGCCACGTATATAAAAACCTATAATCGGAATTTGGTAAATTTAACTGATTGGCTATTAAAATTTTCAGATTGATTTTTTATTTAAATCTTTTCGCTAACGGTCACTAAGGAAAAAAATTCAAAAATTTATCACTTTTCAAACGGCTATGAACAGTGATTTTTAATCTATAAATACACTCATTTTCACTCATTCATTTCACTCAAAAATCATATCTTTTCTCATATATTTTTCTAAGAAATTTGTTTAAGTTTTCATTTTGGAAAATGATTTGTTTGTTTTTAATTCTTTGTTTAATTGCAATTATTACTTGTACTTATGGTCTCTTCGTTGGGGAATTTACTCGCGAAGAATTCACCATAAGTATCGATTTACTTTTCTATGCAATTATGTTCTTTGTAATCGCTTACATCATTAATATAAATTATTCAATACAAAATAAATAATATTATTTTACTAATAATAATTATTCGATTTTTGTGTTAGATAAAAATAACAAACATTGAGAAGCTTAAATTTTCGTCTCTCAAATAAGTGGCGCAAACTACATAGCATGGACCACTGATGTGGAACTATATTTTGAGTCGCAAGAATTTTCCAAAAGCTTAAAATCGGAAAATTTATCGTCTCCAAAAGATACAGCAAAAGCGATAATATTTTTAAGAAAGCATCTTGATAAAAATGTGACGCATGACTATGCTCACATAAAAGATCAAGCAGAATTGTGGCAAGCTTTAAAGCACGGTTTAATAACCAAAGAGAAATAATGTAAAAAAGTTAATTAATGAATTTTTCTTCAGTTGTGTTATACAAATTCATCAACGTGAAACCAAACCAATTTTGTTACTAGTTATATATAAATTCTTATACCGAACCGAATTTGAATTTATGCTAATATTTGTTTATTTGGGATCACACAAATTTACTAAGGTAAAACCAAATAAAATTTTATAATACTATGAAAAGTGCAAATAATTAAAAATATAATATGAATTACATTTAATTAATTGTTATTTAAACGAAAAACTTCATCCAAACTTAAAACCATATCCAATTCAATCTGAATTTTGTTATAATTTTGACCATTTCTTAAATCAAAACCTGAAAAACTCGAACAAAAAAAAAAATTGAATGTTCTATCCTAAATTTTATAGTTTATATAACAAAACTTCTAATGGTAACGAAGCTGATTTGCCTAATCTCAACTTAATATTAAGAAAATATTTCTAAAGCAAAAACTAAATTTTAGAAAAGAAATTGGCAAACTAGAATTTGGAAAACATAAATCATATATTAAAATGTTTTTTAATGGTGAGGGCTATAAACCAAAATTAACCCTCATGAAAGAGAGACAATTGGACATTCTTCCGACGTTAGTTGTCTTTACCATCTCTGGATCTGAACTCCATTTACTAAAACAAAATCATAATCTCATACCAAATCATCTTCCAAACAAATTATCATATTATTACCCAAATCATTCCTCCCATTGAATTAGCTATGAGAGGGAAATGTACGAAGGACACATATATTATTAATCTACAACATGAAGTTGAAGTTTATCGTTGGAGAGAAGAAACCGCATGAAGGAGATAAGCGAATAAGGTAGTTGGCACAGAGAAGAAAGGAGAATGATCACTCTCCTCCAAGACATACATCTGAAAAACTGGCCAGTTCTCCACCATTTGGTCTTGACGCGTAGGATCAATTATATTGTCCTTAGCAGTCTTGATGTACACTCGAGGAACATTCTCGGCCTTGGGATTTGGAGGCAGCTTATCTAGATCTTGAAAGGCTCTCATAGGAGCAGGACGCAACAATTTTGATGATAGAGTTATGTCCTACAATAACCATTTAATTATTCACCATATAATTTTATTTTATTTTTGTTACCATATAATTATTCACCATACTATAGTAGATGTGTTAGTTAAAACATAATTTATGAAGTGATTAAGAGAGTAACCTCAAGAGGGCTTTGGTTATAGTAATAATGGCGTCTAAACTCCTCCTTGATGATGAAGCCAGTGGGTGGCTTATCGGTACCTTCACCAAATGTGTAGTCACATATTTCTTCTTCTCCCTCAAGTTTCTATCAAATACTCACAAGATTGATCTTTATATCATATTATTTTAGACCATAACAAAAAGATAGAGATGAGTTAGTAATTAAAAGAGTCACACTCACGTTTAAAAGATTTGGAGAAGAGATGGATCCGGGCTTAACCATGGAAGCCGTGATGTAAATAGCCATGGAGATTTTGTCAGTGAACTTGCAGAGAGCTTCGGTGACACTTGCTCCACCAATGCTATGTCCGACGAGTATGACTTTGTGGAAAGGAGGGAGGTCGGACAAGAGAGAAAAGAGAGGACGGTTATATTGGTCAGAGTGGAAGACGGTGTTAGAGTCCGTGAGACTGATGCCAGCACCGGTGAGGTCGACAGTGGAGGATTTGAATCCGGCCGCGTCTAGAAGAGTGATGATTTTATACCAACACCAAGCTCCGTGACTAGCCCCATGAACAAACACAAAGTGAATTATGGGATCATCATCACCACTATCTCCTCCCATCGCATGAGTCTCGATCAATGCTTGTACGCACACTCAAACCTTTTCAAGACCAAGTGAATGCGGTTTTGGTCCATTTAATTTGGTATCTAATTGTACGACTGTCTTAAAGTTTCATTTACTTTCGGTTCTTTGTCGGTTTCTCGTTTATTAGCATTCTTCACCGACATAAAAACCATTATACTGTTCACTTCTTTTTATTTATCAACAAAAATTTTTTAGAAAAAAAAAACATGTAACCTTTTTTTATCTTAATTATTTACGAACATATACCATAGTCACTGCTCCCGCAAGTAAAACGTTTATATAAATCAACAGCTGTTCTACAATTCGCGCAATACTTTACCACTTTATTTCTACAATTTTTTTTTGTTTGCCTAAATTCAAATAATTATTAGACATATAATGTGGTGAATATTAAAGCTTAAACATCTTAATACTCTTAAAATGAATCATTGATCTTTCATGAAAAGAAAAGAAGGTTCTAGTCTTTGTCAGAAATTCATAATCCAATCTTGTAAAAGGTAGACAGTTTTTGTCCTAAAAAGATTTGACGAGCAACGAACTGGTTCAATCTCAGCCGTTCGATTAATTAAGTAGTCAGGAAAAGTCATCCCAAAAGGTGGGAACTTGCCACTCCACATCACCATGGCATGTGTTAAGCTTACCGAAGAAAACTTCAAATTGGTTTACTTTCTCCACCACTCAACATGTTGTTTGTTCGTGCACGCTGTTTTGTCTCTATGGTAGACATTTTCTGCTTTCTTTGCTCAAGGATATTTCCTTTCTATATTTGAACTTTGAAGTATAGTGTAGTTATATAAAAGTATTGCATATTACATTATTGACTTGAATCAAAATATTTACAAAAGAAATATATCTATATTTTTGTAGAGAAGAAAAATCGAAAATTACTTGTATATTATTAGCATTAAGAAACTCAAGTTTAAACATAAACTTGTCAAACCTGTTCTCAACGATAATATTCTATAATGAATAAAATTGAGGTGATTACTGTTAACATATTGAATTAAACTGAAATTCTCATTAATCACAAATGTATGTACAATTAGTCTATATATAGACTTTGAGATTAGTACATAAGATAAGCAAAAGGAAACTTATGCTATATATTATATCTCATATGTTAATAGCCCTC